GGGTGTGGGGGGGTGGTGGCATCCTCTGCCTGCTCCAGAATGTACTGATTAGTTATATTATTTTTAAAAAGATACACGTTCTCATCGGGGCTAGCCATGGCTCTGGGTCCAGGGAGTGACATGAGTCATAGAAGGCACTTACTATTTGGATAAAACACAGCACCTTTCTTTCAGCCCATAAAATCAAAGGTATGAAAAAAGGCTGTTTTCGGGGTGTAAGAACTCCCCTTGTTTTCCTGTCGTAGTTAGTGCACAGCGGTTCTGCCTCTGGGGTCTTTGTGCATTTTCCAGGCGTGCGTGTCAACTGTGCCAAAGGCTTGGGAGGCAGAGCCTGCCAGAGGGCACAAGACACAGTCCAGGGGAGAGCCCAGACCCCCCATGATGTTCTGCCCTGGTGTTCCAGGCCCCCAGCCTGGGCACCCCTGTCACATGGCTCTGGGCCAGGTCCAAGCTGGGTGGCACCAGGGACCTTTGGGGAGATGCGGGACTGAAGTGTTGGGAGCCTGGAACTTTAGGCAGGCCTGTTTGAGGGAGGCTGCTGCTGCCCACCCTGAGCTCTGAGATGGCAGGGGCGGGACCCCCTGGTTCCCTCCATAACCCCGGCATCGAGCACGGAGCCCTGTGCTAATTAAGTGCCCCGTGAACATTTGCCGAATACACAAATGTGAGGATGAAGGCAGAGGAGGCGTGAGCATCCAGCTGGCCTGGCTGTCGCTGAACCTGAGGACATTTAGAACAGTAGTTGGGGGGGGCGGTGCTGGGCCACTGCCCGCTCTCCGGGTGAGGGCGCGGAGACGGGAGGGGCCACAGAGTGGAGCAGCCAGGAGGCGGGGAGCCCCTACAGGGGTTCCTTGTGCTGGGAGGGGGCTGCAGTGGCCACGCAGGGCCTCTCCCTCCTTCCCTCTGGGCTGCCCTTGTAGGAAGGAGCCAGCCTTGCTGCTGTTGCCATGGCAACACGGGCCTGAGGTGCTGCTAAGGCTCCTAGGGCTGGAGCTGGCGTGGATGGCAGGACCCCAGGGGTCTCTCATGTCAGAGACAGGCAGGAAGGGAGATGGGATGTGGACAAGCACAGAAGCGGCTCCCGGAGCGGGTGGAGGTTCCCCTGTGTGGGCTTTGCTGGTAGGGAGCCTTGGGGGCTGGCAGAGCCCTGTTATTTCATGAGTCTCCTTGGCACTACGGTGTTTGCACTCCTCCCTGCCTGGCCTCCCTGCCTGGGTCTTTAGGGCTATCACCAAGGGCCCCCCCCCAGGGCCTAGCAGCCTCCTGAAGCTCCCCGTGAAAGTGCAGGCTGGGGCCTGAAGCCCAGGCTCTGAGAGGGCCTGGAGGGCCAGCGACTCCCTAGACTGAACTGGCCTGTGGGCCCGTCGGGAGCACGAGTCGGAGGCCTCACAGCCTCAGACTCAGGTGGCAGGGCTGCTGTGTTGTCCCCCGCCCTCTGGCCCTCCCCCCAGGGCACCCCAGAGCGGGCCCTGGGAGCCTCCTCGTGACCTTCCTATTGCCACATGGCCATTGTGTCCGGGGACCGTGGAGCCTCGGGCCGGGTGCGGGCTGGTCAGCTTCCTCTTCACACCTTCTCTTTTCTAGGGCTCTTGAAGAGCGAGGGGCAGCAGGAATGCAGATGGTCAGGTCTGGGGGAAATAATGGTAGGCCGACCGTCCCTGGGGTCCAGGAATTGGTGAGAAACACTGAGGCTATCCGAAACGGGCTCTGTGATTCAGGATGACTCAGCCTTGCAGATCAGGTCCCTCCTGGGCACGGAGGAGAATTCTCTCATCATCACGTGAAAAAGCTTTCTGTCTGGGCAACCTCCCTGCTTTCCCACATCAGCCCTATAAAGACAACAAGAGCATTACTACGCGAAGGGGGCGTCTGGGCAGTGGTGTACCCTTTCCAATGCCTTGGATTTACATAGCACCTTTGTCTTCTACAGGGCCTCTGCCTCAGTCCCCTGGGCCACGGCCACAACCGGGTGAAGCCATGGGAACGCCAACACCCCCGCCTCCGTGGCGAGCAGAGAGCGAGGCAGAGGCCTCCAAGAGACTGCGTGCAGGCTTGGTGGTGTCCAGGGCCCTCCCTGGGCAAGTCTGGCCTCGGCCCTCTGGGCGGGGGTGGCCGGGGGGCGCCGGGCCTCACTGGGCGTTCACTTTGTATTTCAGGATGTAGGAGTAGAAGTTGTGGTTGGCGTTCTCCAGCACCATGACGTAGATCTCGCGGCACCCGGCCGTGCTGCAGCTGCCCTCCCAGTAGCCCTCTCTAGTCAGGGTCAGGGGCCACGTGTCCTGCCCCTTCACCAGGGCTTTGGCGACGCCGTGGAGCTTCAGTTTGAACGGGACGTTCCGATTGGCAGGAAGCACGCCCGACAGGGGCTCCAGCAACTCATTGTCCTGCCCCCAGTTGCCAAAGCTCTCGGGGAACATGGGCCAGTTCACCTTGGTGTTGGTGCAGCACAGCAGATAATTGAAGACGAAGACGTAGTTGCCCGGCTCCAGCCTCTTCTTGACAAAGATCTTGAGGGCAAACTTGCCGGCCCGGGGCAGCTGGACCTTCAGCTCTGCCCGCTTCTGCCGCTGCACCTGGAAGATGTAGCGCTGCTGCGTCTCCTCGGTGACGGGGCCCTCGTCCCCATGCAGGGAAGCCAGGACGCTGATGCCCTCCTCCACGCCGAAGCTGACCGAGCAGCGCCCGTCGCCAGTGTGGATGATGGGGTCGGGGTGGGAGGGCTTCACGATGCCCATCTGCTCTGAGAACCAGCTGGGGCCCACGGGCTGGTGCAGCTCGGCCGGCAGCCGGACACTGATGTCCACGTAGTTGCACTTGAGCGTGTACTCGAGCACTGAGCTGTAGACGTCGGAGCTGCCTTTGGCAAAGATCTGCAGCTTGTGGGTGCCCACCGTCGGAGGGTATATGTCCAGCTTCATCCCGTTCTTCCTGAGGCTCAGCAGCCCATGCTCCTGCTTGCCATTGAGCATAAACATGAAGAGCGTTGGGGCACAGCTCTCGATGGTGATGGTGGCTTTCCCGTTCACTGTGGAGAGAGAGAGCCGGGGTCAGGTGGGATGGGTCCAGGGTGTGCCGACGTGCTGCTCAATGTTTAACAACTGGCTCTCCGCGGGAAGAAGCCCTGACTCTAGCATCTGCCCATTGCCACGGTGTAACGACTTTCAGCACCCTGGATTTTAAGCAGTCGAGGTGATGTCACCGAACAGGATGTAAGCCAGCTGCGGCACACCACTGGAGGGGCTCCCCTCCCCGCTCTAGGTGGTTCTCTTAGGGTGCGCTGAAAGCTGAGGGTCTCAAGAGAAAATCTGCCCCAGCTGTATGTGCTTGCCTCACCCAAGTGATTCTCGCAAGACGAAGGTGGTCCGGAGGCTTAGCCTGATTCCAGAGAAGGGGAGAGGGCCCGGGGGCAAGGAGGGCCCATGACTGGTTGGAGGGCCGCCCTTTGTCTCCTTCCAGTCTTAAGTCTTGCTTCACACCGCTCCCTCCAGCCCCTGTTCATTATAGTGTCAGCCCTGTCAGGTGAACATTGGACCTGAAAACCCGGCTGGACCACTGGAGGCGGTGCTCCAGGGGCGGGGCTGCCTCCTCGCCTCCCCCTGCCCCAACCCAGGACTCCCACTCGGGCGAGGCTTGGCGCGTCTCTGGAGGGCCCTTTGCATCCACTCTCCCTCTATCTCTCCCCATGCCCTCCAGTTTTGTCTTCCTCTGTCCCAGTCACTGTTTTTCAGGGTGAGTTCTCTGGTTCTACAGCCCATGAGCACTCCCCTACCTCATCCTCCCTGCCTCACAGGACCACAGGGAGGGGCAGTGGCTCCTTGCAGAGCCTCAATCCCCTTCCTCTTGGAAGCCTCACACCTGCGCCTTGTCCCAGCAACCTCCCCACCCCGTTGGGGTTCACAGATGAGCGCAAAGGAAGGAGACAGACTACCGCCAGAAGCACACTCACTAGTAACCTTTTCCCGGTCTGAGGTACAACGCTCTTGATGGGGAGGTCATGCCTGGGTTCTAGGACAAGTACCCCCAAGACCTCCCCTCTAATCTGCCCCAAGGCCCCGACTCCAGGCTGCTCTGCTCCTGCATTCAGTGCTAACTCCCAACCAGCCAGTGAGAATCCCCCGGCGGCAGCAGGAAAGGCTGGGAGCTTCCTGGCTGGCTCCCCTCTGCTTCTTCGTGGGCTCCAGCCCAGCCCACCCACCACTGCCCCGTTCCCTCTGCTGCCATTCCTTCCCTCTCTGCTATACTTCTTGTGGGGTGCTTGGTGCTTTGGTGTTATCTTCTTTGTCTACCTTCTTTCTCCACTGCCTCCAGCCACGATGGGACATCTGTCCCATGGTAACCTCCAAAAGGAAAGTGCCCAAGAACAACAGACTTGTTATCAGTCTCTCTTGGTTGAATCTCTCCTCTCCCCTGGCTTCCTCTTATAAGCCAACTCAGTGGGCAGAAGTTGTCTCAGCCTTCAACTGCTCATGACCCCGTCTTGTTCTGTCTTGCTTCCGAGTTGGCTGTGAGATCCCACGGAATTCACCTTTGATGAGGAGTGCCATCCAGCACTTCCACAGGGCCGCCCAAGGGCCCCTGGGAAATTGTCTACCTGGTCATTCCTGGGTTCACTTGTGTGGGTCACCATCCAACTGGAGACCAGTGAGAGTCCTATCCCCTCCTGCCTGGCCTGAGTCAGGACCCTCCTTTTCCGGACCACAGGGCATTCTCCCACATATCCCAGAGCCCTCACACCTGTCCTCCCCTCCACCGCTTTTCCCCAAACCTGATAAGACCTTAGCATGACGTCTGACTGCAGAGAAGCCTTTTTCCATGCCCTCAGGTGAGGTTCAGCTCCCCTGGAAGCCTCTCTTGTAGCTCCACATCTCCTTCAGGAAACTTAGCACCATTGTACTGAATTAGTTCTCTGCAATGTCTGTCTTCCCTGCAGCGGTGAGCACTGTGGGGAACTGCCCTCCTGCCTCCTTTCACGCGTGTCCCAGGGCTGCCCAGGGTGCCTGGCCCAGCAGATTCTCTGCAAAGGTGAGCTGAATGGCTGGAAGACTTGAAAGAAGGACTCTGGGGATTCTGGGGGAGCCTGTGACCTCCCCTGCGTCCCCTCTCCCTCCAACCCCCCTCTCCCCCATCAGTGGTATCCCACCCCCCACACCTCTCACACCCCCCTGTCCTCTTCCTTCCCTGCTTTTCACCCACCTGTTTCCCTCTTCTGCTTTCTTCCCATCCTCACTCTTAACACAACTAGCTCCAACAAAGAAAAAGTCTTGAAATATGCATCACGAATATGGAATCAAATTTGAGATTACTGTATATTAAGAATCCCAGTGTTTACATTTCTGTGTCTCTTGCAAAGGCAAGTTCTACTCCGTGGCATTAATTGGATGTTGGTGTGGCCTGGACCATTCTTCTGTGGTTCCATGGCCCACACCAGTCAGAACAGGCTCCCCATCTGATATGAGCACAGGAAACGCGTTCTCAAAGACAGCAACCTCGCGCTGTTATTTTAGCAGCAGGAGCCTCCAGGTATTTGTAGTTTTAAAAAAGTATTCAGGAGTTCAGCAAACTGGTTAGGGAAAGCAGTGTGAGGTGGAAGGGATGAATCAGCTGGCAGTAACTTGGGGACACCTGTGCTCCCTGTGCCCCTATCCCTCTACAGTGTGGGATGGGGCTCCCCTTCAGACCCACCCGGAGACCTCTCTGTGCTAACAGCCAGTGTGAGCTCAGACCCTTCCCTCCTGGGAGTATACGGGTCCCCTGGTAGCAGAGATGGTGCCAACAGGCAGGCCTTTGCGTAAGCGGGGGTGTGTGGGTGTGGGTGTGGGTGGGGGGGTAGGTGCACTGACTAGGCTGTGCTGAGCCCTGTAGTGTGTCCAGGTTATGTGTCCAGCCCTGGACCAGGCACCAGGGCCTTGGACAGACATAAGACGAAGTCCTCTGCAGTCAGCCCTGCGAGGCTCGTGACCACAGTTCTGTACCCTCTCCCACACAGCTGGCCCCCCCCTAAACCTCAGAGTGCACAAACACACCTGGCTGGGTACCTGTGGCCCCTGTGGGGACGTAGGGAACAAAGGTCAGTCCAGGCCAGCCGTGGGGACAGCTCAGCTAGGTGTCCTGCCCCTCCTACTCCCAGGAAAGTTGGCTGGAAAAGGCTGGACTTTGCCTCCAGGAGGGAAGCTTGTGAGGGAAGGGCACAGAGGAAGGCAGGCTGCGCCTCTGGAGCCAGCCCTGGTCTAGGGGTGCTTGAGTTCAGGCGTTGGAGGGCTTGCTGTGTCCTTCCAGAGCATGTCCGTCCCTGTGTTTGGGGATGCCTGTTCTCTTCCAGCTCTTAAGACCCAGCTCAGCAGCCACTCCCTAATAAAGCCTCCCCTGGTCCTCTGTCCTGGGAGACCCCCACTGCTCTCCCACTAGCTGCTCAGACCACTGACACACAGAGCCCCGCGTGGCTGGGCCAACACGTCCTCTTTGCCAGGAGTTTGGGAGAATGCAGCAGGCTAGTGAGCTTCTGTCGGGGACCTGAGCCGGGAGGTGGGGACAGCCAGGCCTGTGGCGGTCCTTCACCTGCTGCGGGAACTGGGAGAGACTCACCCAACGGGGACCCTCCAGCCCTGCTCACTGACAGGTTGGGCTGTAAATGGGGTCCTCAGGGCCTAGGGAAACTCAAGGACTTCCTATGCATCCCCTTTTTGGCTTATGCTGCTGTGAGCCGGTGTCTGTCCCTGCAAACGTGACCTGTGGCTGTGTCCTGCGCCGATGGCCCGATGGACTTGGCTGCCTTAATAGCGTCCGCATATACATACAGCTTACGCGGAGCCCACGGGCCCTGGCTGGGCCCTGACAGGGCAGTCCCCTGGGGCCCAGAGGCCTCGAGGCGCAGAGCATGCTGCTCCGTCCCTGCCGCGAGATGCCGGCCACCTGCTCTGTCCCTGCCGCGAGATGCCGGCCACCTGCTCCGGGCTTACCTGTTTTGATCACAGAAGTCTCTGGGTGGGCACTCAGCATTCCCTTGTTGTAGAATTCACTCTTGTGATACATGTTGTTCTCAAACTGCTTCAGAGATTGAGGAGGTTTTAGCAGTTGCCAGTTCTTGTTGTCTGGGAAATGGTCCTCGATGAACAGTGCGGGATGGGTGAGGAAGTAGAATTCATTGTAGCTAGAGGTGGGGTGGGGGGAGCTGGTCAGTGGCCATGTGCTGTGAGTAGGCCTCAGCTCTGTAGAGAAGGAGGTGGGGCTCGCAGGGGGATCTTTGGGGCCTTCTTTTGTCTGGCGCTTCCACAGGAGGGGTCCTGCCAACAACCCGATGGGGAGAGGCACTATGTCCGGTCTTAACATGGGCGCTGCAGATGGCCTCTCAGTGGCTGCTTCCAGAAATAGGGGCCATGGCAGGATCTGCGGCCCCCTTTAAGTGAAGGCCATAGTCCATGTGGAGCTGTGTCCAGGTAGGGATTGGGCTCCCCCTTCTCTCAAAGCCCGACAGAGATTTGAGGGAGCAAAGGCATAACCCAGGGACCAGGTGCCAACCAGCAGGGTGGAGGGAGGGCAGGTAGGGAGAGTCGTGGATGAGCAGCCCTCCTGTGGTCCCTGGGGCCAATGACACATGGCTCTCTAGCGGTTAGTGATGGGGATCAAGAGAAGAACAGGGAGACTCATCTGAGCTAAAGCTTCTCTCTTAGCTTGTATTTGGCCTGTGTGCAGGCCTGTCGAGATTTAAACTGCAAAAATCGGACAATGCTCTCATTTTTCTGGATAAAAAAGAATCTGAGTTGCTGAGAGATCTTATGATCCCGGGTGAATATCACGGCTTTAGGTTAAGACCATAGTTGGCCAGAGCCTTGGAGAACAGACATGCTCCAGCGCCCTGCACCCCAGCACCCTGCCCCACCGTGGTCACAGTGACTCTGTACTCACAGACTATAACCTCTTCCTCAGAGATGTGATGTGGCTGCATTTGGCCCAGAGACGTGGGGGAGGAGCCCTGGCATCTGGGGGAAGAGAATTCTGGCATCCCTGCATTGTAATACAGCCAGTGGGTCAAAGGCCTGAAGGGAATCTACAGATGTTAAAGTAGCTTCTCAGCTCTGCCTTCCTCTCTTGTAGGGCCTGTGGGCAAATGCTGGGCTTTCAGCACTTGGGCAGAGGGAGCGATGGGGAGCCAGAGGAGGGATTTAGTCAGCAGAGGGTGAGGTGACAAAAGGGTCCGGGCCCTTCCTATTGGCTTGGAGCTGAATCATTTCAGAGCTGGAGGAACGGTGGGAGGGGCTAGCAGCGAGGAGAGGCCACCCTGGCCCTCCCTGCCCTCCCACCTGGCCTTCTCCACCTGCTGCTACCTTCAGCCTCGTGCCTCCCCCATTTCCACCAGCCGGACACGCAACAGCACCGAGATTTCTACTTACAGGAAGGTGAATTTGGAGGTGGTAGAATCCACCAGGCCACTGCCCCAGGTGCTGTCCACCAGGTGCCATCTCCCCTCCAGGTACACGGCATTCCAGGCGTGGTCAAAGTCCCCCGAGAAGCTCTGCCCCGTCTGGTAGCCAAAGCCCTTGGAGTAGCCAGGCACAGTCACGCACTGCACGCCGGCGATCCTGGGGGCAGGACAGGGGGTCTGAGAGGTGGCTCCTGCAGGGGCTGCAAATCATCACCACCTGCTCCTCCATGGAGACGGAGCAAATCACCTCTGAGACATCTTTCCCCAGGCAGAGCCCGCCTGAGTGCTCTGCCTGCCGCTCTTCAGGAGGACAATGGGTGCAATGGCGAGGATCACCCCAAGAACATGGAAACCAGGAAAGGATGATGTTCTTGAAGAATCAGAGCAGCTCGAAACACGTGGCTGAGGAGCTGGGTCTAGGTGACACGGGTGGGGTGTCATGGAGGGGTGCTGGACGTGAGGGTACAGAAGAAAGCTGAGCCCTACTCTCTCCAGTCATGTGCTGACTGACTGCCCTGGCCACAGTTTCAGCGTCCCCTGTAGACGTCCTCTGAGGGGTGGAAATGTTGACCAGTCAGCCTGAGTTCTTCGGCCCTCTCGAGAGTATGCTCCCCCAGTGCTTACAAGCACTCCGGCACCACTTTTGGTGGCCTGGGCAGTGGGGGATGGATGATGGTCACCTGTGGGGACTACAGAAATCATGGGCAAGCTACAATGTGGGCATTGAAGCTGAAACCCTGAGGCCCACCCCAAGGCCAAAGCAAGAGTCCCGAGAGTCCTTCCATGACCAGCTGGCCTTCCTCTTCAGCCATGGCAGGGACCAGGGTGGGCTGCTCTTCTGACCCAGGGGACGCCCTGTGCGAGTTTTCTTGGGGGTCTTTGTGTGAATTAGAAAAAGGTATTCCTTCTTTAAGACACTTTCCTTTCACATCTGGCGGCTTCGTATAACACACACAACTCAGTGCTGTCCAGGATGTTCGCGGCGGCTCCTTCCACGGGGCTCCCTGAGTATCGCACAAGCTGCCCTGCACACTCTGCCCTCATCTCACACGAACCGGTTCCTGCTCTGGGTGTTAGCCAGGCCTGGGGGCCTCTGGTGGCCGGGGGCCTTCTGTGGATCAGCGCTGCGGACCCCAGTGCTCTCAACAAGAGGGCCATGGAGCCTCTCCGGGGAAGGGGGAAAACGGCTCCCCGTTCATTATAGGAACAGGGGACATTTTCCCTATAAAAACATATGTTTCTAAATCTTTTTGTTTTTTTTTTGAGAGAGAGAATGAGAGAACACGTGCATGTGAGCAAGCGGGTGGGGGGTGGTGGGGGTGGAGGGGCAGAGGGGGAGCGAGAGCAAGAGCGAGACCTGAGCCGAAATCCAGTCAGACGCTCAACCCACTGAGCCACCCAGGCGCCCCTAAAAAGTATGTTTAATTGCCCATTAGAATACTGGATTAAATATTACTTATCATTTGTTGAGAGAAGCAGTGAAGCAAAATGGGGAGCCTGCACGTTTCCACGTTCCACCCTGCTTCAGCCGAACAGTGTCCTGTTCCCACGTCTGCCTGAGCTTCCCTCCTCCGTGGGGTGCAGGCCTGCCCTTCTGCCTGAGGCTTCACACAAGGGGGGCCAGGCCTCCCAGGCTGTCTGAGACATGCCGCGAGAACAGAGCAGCGAGGCGCTCCGGGAAGGATTTCAGGAGCACTTGGGGAACGGGGCAGAGAGCAAGAGGGACGGGATCCTGATGTCAGGTTTTCCTGCTGCTGAAGGGCCAAAACCTACTCCTGGAGCAGAAGGGCCTCCCAGAGGCAGGAGACACAGGAGGCAGCAGGCCGAGGAGGAGCCCCAGAAGTGCAGCGTGCATGCCTGGAGGGTCCCCTGCCTCATTAGCTGCAGATGCGGTGAAGGGGTGCTTCTGGGGGTCGGAACTGAATGTGTTTACAGTCTCAGAGAAAACAGGCAGCAGGGGGGAGGGGCGAGAGCCAGGCCAGAAGGGTGGGATGGAGGGCAGATTGGGGGGCTTCCCTGGGAGGTGGGGCTCCACCTACTCAGAGTGAGTGAGAAGTGTGAGGTAAGACACGCTCCTGACACAATATGAACTGACAGAAGCCTATGGAACCCCGCCGTCAGCACAAGGCCCGAGTGTGTGTGTGCGTGTGCGTGCGCGTGTGTGGGGGGGTGTGCTTGTGCAGGTCGAGAGGCAGAGGAGGAGGGCAGAGTGAGACAGGCCGGCTGCACCTGGGCTCCTAGTGATGCGATTAAGGGCGATTGTGATTTTCTTCTTTAAACTCCTTTAGATCTTCTAAATTTTCAGTAATGATTATGTGTTACTTTTAGAATTGGAAAAAAGCCATAAATACTACTTGAAATTACATTCTTCGGTAAGTTATTTTCCTTTCTTGCCCAGAAACGTCTGTGTGCATCACCCATTTCCAGGCGTGTGTGGAGGGGTGTGGAGTCCTGGGAAGAGTCCTGCGGTAAGCTGGGTTGACGGAGGGGAGCTGCGGCCCTCTGGACGCAGCTCCCCCCAGAGGCCCGGCCTCTGCTCACAGCTTCCTGTGGTCCAGGAAGGAAGGGGAGCGCTGCATGTCCACACGGCCCCCGGGTGCCCCAGTGAAACGGAGCAGGCGCCGCTGTGGGCAGCGGGGCCGGCCGTGTGCCCAGGCAGTGGGCCTGGGGGCACCGTCCCCCCGAGCGGTGGAGTGGAGGTAGGCTTTGAGAACCAGGTTGGGGAGCGGCAGTGAGAGCCCGACCCCAAACCTGGGAAGGGTGGGAGGAGGCAGAAGTGGGTGGCCGGATGGGCTGTCACTGGGCCGAGTCAGGCGATCTGGGCTCAGTCTCAGCTCTACGGTTGCCTCGGGGTGACCTTGCCAGGCCCATCATGGGCAAAAAGAAAGGTTGACATTAAATGATCTCTGGGGGGTGATGTCTATGACAGGCTGGAGGGAAGCTGGGAAGGCCATGGGGAATGCCTGGGGCAGAATAAAGATGAAAAAAAGAAACTTAGCTGTGAGCTTATGCCATGTTTGACTATGATATGAGGATATTTTATTACCTGGCAGCAATGTGCAAGATGAATTGGACAAAGAAGTCATGATGTAAAGCATTATTGTTAATAATCCATAATTCTCATGCAAAACTGGGGGACTAGTGATTCTAGCTGCCGGTTGCTAGTTAGGATGACCCACAACCATTTCATGCTATCGAAAGATCACTGACTTTTGTGCAAAGCACTGTACCAGGCACCAGGGAATAATATCATATATCCTATCCTATCATATAATAACTACTATAGCCTAATAAAATATTCTGAAAGGAGAGTTCATTGGCTGCCCTAGATGTGCTCATTGTCTCAAGGGGGCAGACAGGTAGACCATTACTAAAATGCTATTGATGCACACAGCCCTTTTAGGGGACCCAAAGGAAGAGGAATTTGCTGGAAAGATCTAGGAGAGCACTGAAGAAGGGACAGAAGATGAGAAATGTTTCCACCTCCTAATGAGATCTCACCAGCCATTCTAGAGCCTCAAATATCATCCCAGGACATCTATCTAATAACCTCAGGCTGCAGCGTCTTGGTTTTTACTTTTGATAGTTTTCAATTGCCAACACCAGGGGTATCAGTTGAGGAGGGGGTGGATCCGGTCCGTGACTATTACTGTATACAGATAGGGTCCGGGTCCTGCCGTGGGAACCGTGTAATACCACATTAGCCACACCACTGCCAGGCCCCAGCAGGGTGGCCGCATTGTCTGGGGTGGGCAATGTGCCCTGCAGGCGTCAGGATCTGACCATAGTGTACTCTCATCACCTCTCCAGGGTGTGTGGGCCACGTGGAAAATAAGAGAAGGAGGGAGGGATGTAGCCAATGGGAGATGCAATGAAGCATGCTCTTTTTTTTTTGTACCTTGATGAAAATATTGTGATTTTTTAAAAAAAGATTTTATTTATTTATTTGTTTGTTTGTTTACAGCACATGAGCTGGGGGAGGGGAGGGGCAGAGGGAGAGGGGAAGAGAGAATCTCAAGCAGGCTCCTCGCTGAGTGCGGAGCCTGATGCGGGGCTTGATCTCACAACCCTGAGATCATGACCTGAGCTGAAACCAAGAGTTGGCCGCTCAACCGACTGAGCCACCCTGGTGCCCCCCCAATTTTGTGATTCTGTACTGTAGCAGGACAAGCATAAGCATGGCATACGTTCCACAGATTATGTGGCTGATTTCTTGTAACTCTGACGGTACCTCTATTTCTGCTGTACGGTCCCCTTTCCCTGGTCTCGCACCACCCTTAGTGGTGAGGTCAGTAACTATAACCACAGTAATTATTCTCACTCGGAGGCCCTGTGTCGGGCCTTCTGGGCTGTGACCTCAGAGCCCTCCTCTCTGACAAGCGAGGAGTCAGCAGAACAAAGAGCGAGGCTGACTCGCCTGGGGACACACAGCCAACCAGTGGCCAGAGCAGCCTCAGGACTCAGTTGTCCTGACGCACACAGTTCAGGAGGCTTCGTATGACACCAGCCCCTTAGTATGCCAAGATTTAATTTATAAATGTATGGGTGCAGCAAAATTAAGGGATGGTTTGTTCTAGTCACATCCTTCATCTCTGCGAGCACTAGCCTTTGGTGTATCTACAAGGGCGGGGGAATTCAGATGTCCCTTTCAGGAATTTTATATGACAAAGTCAGATCTGGGCATAACTTCAGGTAATCCAGGGTATCTGCCTCTCCCAGGAGGGTGGTGAGATGGTTGCTCCCCAGCCTTTGGGGCCTTTGGAGCCCACTGATGTGCTGGGATCATCTGGGACATCATGCTGAGCAGAAGCTGGATGCTGCTCTTGGTCTCTGTGACAGAGGGAGGACGGATGGAGAACAGGCTGACATCCGATCGGTGACAACCAGTCTCCCCGGCATCAAAGCCTCAAACCTATACTAAGCTCCTGGCTTTCCCCAAACTCTCTGGAAACTCTGCTGGCTGGTGGTGCTACAGTCGTGATAACAGGGGGAGGGGTTGTACTGGAGCTGACTTGGTGGCAGGAATCTGGGAAATGAAGCTTGGCCCCCGCAAGGAGGTTAAGCAGAATTCATGAAGGCAGAGAGGAATTGAGGCAAAAGCAGGGACGTTAATGTTGGATGATGGGAGGTCAGAAAGAAACCAGACCAGCAGTTACAAGCAATAGGACTAAAAAAACAAAAACAAACAAAAAACCAAACAAAACCCTCACATCGATTACTTGGGAAAGACGATGAGGAAATGAAGGATGTTGCAAAAATATCTGAGTTCCCCACCGAATTACTTTATTCAATCAGTCCTTAATGAGGCCATTGCAAGGAAGCAGAATGGATGGGCAGAAGTAATGATGGCCGTATGGGTACTGCTCTTGCTAAGAGGCCGCCCTGACAACTGAGCCGGGATAAATCAGCAAGTGTGGATTACATGTCTTCTGTTATTAAGGACTCAGCTAATGAATTTACCAAACCTTCGGCAATTATTTGGAAGGTAAGGGAATTAGGAAAGTGATGCATGGGTGAGGTTGCTGATCTTTAAAGCCAAAGTTAAAGGGACCCAGGGAACCGTGAGCTACCGTTAACCGTCTGAGCAGTGTGCAGAGTTTTTCACATGCTAACTGCCAGGTTAGGACCTAGCTTTAAATGATGCAGAATGTTGGGATGTGTTTTAATGATCAGCTGCAGGCCAGAAGAGGGCCATTGTTAAGCATCTGGATCAGGCCAGAAAGCTGACAGGTTCACTCAAGGCAAGTGTCAATTTTCTGAGTCTATGTGTGTCTGTGGGAAAGTTCCACTGCGCAAGAGCGTTCCCATACTCAAGAAAGACAGGCAAGGTTAAAAAACAACCCAACAACCCCAAAGTCAGGTGAGCAAATTCCAAACTGCATGTTCTCACTTAACCCTAGCACTGCCAGCAGGCACTACGGTCCCCATGTACAGATGGGAAAACTGAGGCTCTGAGAAATTCAGTGCCTTTCCAAAGGAACACAATTAACAAGTGGTAAATCAAGGACTGGAAACTAAGGACGGGGGAGCTGAGGGCTGCAAACGTCTTTCTGGCTTTCAGTCTGGCACCCTCCTGCACCATGCTTGGAAGGCTTATACTGGATAAAGAAGGATATATCCTATGACTGAGAAATCCTAGGACTGAAAAATCAAGTTGGCCAACTAAGATGAAAATTATGCTCTGAAAGGTGCCAGGCAAAAATAGAGCCGAAAACAGACTGAGGGTTAGTCCATGATTTAAAAAGAGAGGAAGGCCCATTTCATACAAATCTGCTAGGAATATCTTGTCATTTCCAGTCATCGTGGGCCTATGGCGTGTAGGATTCTGAGCTGGCCATTCACAGGGGAAGCAGAAACAGAGAGAGAGGGGCTAAAGACACATAAAAGACATACTAGCCCCACAAGACACTGGAGGAAAAATGAGCACAGGTAACACAGGTTAACATGTATATGATAGAACAAAGTCTGGGAGGGAATGGGACAAAATGTTAAGTGTTATCTCTAAGTCGTCAGAGTGACCTAATTTTCTTCTTTTTGCTTCTGTGCATTTTATAAATCATCTGTAATTAACAAGTATTTTTTGTTTAATTTGGAAAAGTTATTAAATAAAAGCATAAGGCAAGCCAGGAGTCCGTGTATACGGTGTGCTGACGACATCAAGGGAGGAGATGGGGTGGGGTGAAGGGGGCGTCCAGGAGTGGGGCAGGAAGGAGCATTAGAGAGGGGGGAGCAGACTGAGCTTGAGGACCCAGAAGTGCGGAGAGTGCTGCAGGGTGCAGGGCTGGAAGGGTGCTGGAGGTCAGATTATGGAGGACGTTACAGGACACTGTGAGCCTGTGGGTCCTGTTCAGGAACCTAGGGCCTATGGAGTCTGGGCAGAGGGCCAGTGAGGATCCTGGTTCCTGGAGAGGCCCCCAGGCATGTTGGGGTGCCCGGGCCTGGAGCGGGGGCAGGCACGTGAGGGGTGGGAGCGAAGCACTGCTCTGGTGGAGTGGATGGGCTGCAGAGGGGCTGGCATCCGCTGCAGCCTGACCTGCCCTGGTTGCCTCTGGGACACTGGCCTCAGGGGTGGGGCGTGGAGGGGGGCACCGTGAAGAGCAGGGAGCGAGCAGGAGGCTGGGAGCAGGCACATGTGGATGCTTGCCGGTGGTGTTGGGGGGTGGGAGGGTCCAACAACGGGGGGTTAGGCCGGGAATGGGCTGCGTGTCTGCAGGAGCAGGACATCTTGGGCTGCCTGTGTGTCGACACGTACACACGTCCCCGACACATCACAACTGCCCACCTGCGGACTCCTGAGTGTCTGTTGCTGCACTTGGTTTGATGAATCTGAGTCCTGGTGGGCTGACATGGGTGCCTGGGAAGACCCACTCCCAGAGGCCTGCAGAGACGGTGGGCAGAGCCTATCCATCTCCCTGGGGACAAGGCTCTTCAGCGGCTTCCCCGGCTGCCTGATTGTTTCCCGGGGAACCCAGCAGACCTCGGAGAGTGGGCACAGGAAGCTGTGGGGTCGGCGGGGCTCCCCCAGCCTGGAGTCTGTCTCGAGGTCACCTAGAACCAGTAAAGGTGCCTCCGCGCACAAGTGGTCTCCTTACCTGCTGTCACCCGCCCGGGCAACCTGGCCAGGAGCACATTAGAGCAATGAAAATGGAGCCCAAAGTCTCCAAGAGAAAAGCTGCTTCCTAGTTATTCAGCCTCTCCAACTGACAAATCTTTTCGGGTAGGAGATCATCTGTTTCCCCCGAGAGAGGGCTCCGGTGCCAGCCCTGAGGACAGGCTTTCACAGTCCCCTTGGCGTCAGCAGCCACTGTCCTACTGTTCCCAGACCTGCCATTCTTCTAACCTTCAGCTGTGCAGAGATCAGAGAAGGTGGAAAAGGGGCCTTTTATAACCAAATTATCTCTGCGCATTCATCTGCCATTATGTTAATGCATCGCGAAGGCAGGCAGATGGTACAAAGTCAATTATGCTGGTGTTAAAAAGGGAGAAATTGACCTTTTCAGGACTCACTCGGATTCCAGAGCAGAGTTTGCAAACTCCGGTTTCAGGCCTGGCATGTGCGTGAAGGCGCACGGCACTTTGGAAGGGGCGAAGGGAGGGGTCACAGCAGTCAGCCCAGGACTGCCTGCCTTCCATGGGACCCCTTCTCGTACCTGCACATTTTCTCAAAGAGTCCAGCGTAGCCGTCACAGTTGGTCTTCCGGGTCCGTAGGATGTCGGTGGGCTTGAAGGCCTGGCGGTCCTTCTCCTGGGCAGCCTCGATGTCATACTCTGGAGGGCAGAGGAGACTGTGAGCCAACAGGTCTTGGGAGGCAACCAAGGCTGGTGCAGAGCAGAGGGGTCCGTGGCCTGCGGCGCCGTCCCCGCCCTCCGCTGTGCTTTCAGCACCATTCGGGCTGGCCTCCCTCAAGTCCCGGAGAAACCACTGTAGGCTGAAGGGAACCAGGGCCCCCAGCCAGGGCAAACTTGGGGAAATGTCGCCTCCTTGGGCAGGTGGCAAGAGGAAGAGTGAAGCATCGGCAGAGCAGGCTGCCTGGCTTGTCAGGCCTTTGAGGAGAGGCTGAAAGGGAAGGGGGCCAAGATAGCACCAGGCCGTGGGGGCTCTGCCCTTGCCCTCCCCACCACACAGCTCGGCAGGCCGTTCCCATGAGGCTGCTCCCCCATCCCTGCTGCGGCCACCCCCAAGGCCTCACACTGACCCCCAGGGGGTGCCCTGAGCTACCACTAAACAGGCTGTCCGTTAGTGAAGGCCTGGAGGGAGGCCCTGAGGCAGGAATCCCTGTGGGCACTGAGGGCACGAAGGGAGCACCTGTGAAGGTGGCAGACGGTAAGTGAAGTCCTACCTAATGCTCTGTTTCTGACTCTGCTCCTTTAAGGCCCCAGGCTGAACAGAGCTGCTGGTTTTGGGGAGGGAGGAAATGGCCTCTCAGGCCCTGTGGTCAGATACCCTACCTGTGTCAGGTGAGTTCCTCCTCTAAGCTGCATCCCTCACTGCTGCTCTGGGAGGACAAAGGAAAAGCCCAGTGGCAGCAGATCAGGAGAGCCCCCCGCTGGTTGTCAGGTCACAGGGAAAGCGCTAAAAGTCCACCCCACCACCTGGCTCTTCCATTGACTGCAAGGGGCAGCATCCAGCCTCCCCCTAGCCACCCCCATGGGGCCTGGCTTGACCTGGCCAGATCCTCAAGGCTGCCCTGTGCAGAGTTAGGGACAGGTGCACAGGCCCAGGCCCCCTGAGGTTGCTCTGAGTGCCTGGTGACAGGGCTGAGATCGCGGGTGTGGGAACAGGGAGAGGGAGAGGCGAGCCCACTCTTCCTGGCACTGGTGCTTTAAGAAACCTCTGGTGTCGCAATAACTTTCCAACAGCTATGAACCTTCCCCATTCTTCTTGGAGATGACCTTCTGTCCTGGGTTCTCAGGTCTGTGCAGCAGGTTTACCAGGAAGCCAGCACTGAGGGAATGCTGCCGCTGGGTAAAGGGCCTAAGCTCTGGTCACTGACTGTGGGCAGATGGTCACAGGGGATCCCCCACCCAACGACCCTTTATGGAGACTGTTAGTACACGGTGAGTTTTACTCTCCTTGGTTAGTCTTTGGTTATTCAAGCTAGCCATCTGGGAACCCTTCTCCTCCACTGTCTGTCTCACTCCCTACACACTGGTGGTCAAGTGAATCCCAGAGAGTCTCCCCTAGAAACAGGGTCCTGCAGGGAGTGGCATCAGGGGAGTCCTAGGGCCAGTGGCACCACAGGTGGGCCTACCTATGTGGTGGCAGATCCAGATCCAGATCACGCGGACCCTCTCCAGGTCACTGTGGGCCTCCTGGAGCAGGTCGCTCACCAGCTCATCCAGGCCACTGTTGACTGTCACCTGGGGAGTGGGAGGGGTGTGCTATGTCAGGGCCTGGATGAGGGCGGTGGGAGCCCAGTGCCCTGCCGCCAGGAGCTGGTGCTGCTTTTCCTCCAGGCAGAGGAGGAAGAGGAGGAGAGGGCCAGAGGCACAAGGGCTAGGCTGAGCGCGGCCCTTGGTGGGGGGCTGGACATATCAGGTAGTGCTGACCAGCTGAGTCACTGGCCCTAGAGCCACATATCTTTTCTCGGCAGACCTGGGGCCAGCCAGGTGGGTGGGCATCTGAGCGGCTACAGCAGCCCCTACTCATGGTCAGTACTACCCAAAGCGATCTACGGACTTAACACAATCCCTATAAAATTCCAACAGCCTTTTTTGCAGAAATGGAAAAGCCAATCCTCAACTTCATATGAAATTGCAAGGGGCCCAGAATAGCCAAAACAATTTTGAAAAAAGAAGAACAAAATTGGAGGGCTCACATTTCTGAATTTCAAAACTTAACTACAAAACTATAGTAATCAAAATAGTGTGGTACTGACATAAGGATCATATAGGCAGGTGGAATAGAACTGAGAGTCTAGAAATTAACTTATACACCTATGGCTAACTGACTTTTTTGACAAGGATTACAAGTCTGTTCAGTGGGGAAAGAATAGTCTGTTTAACAAAGTCCAGTCTGTGCTGGACAACTGGATATCCACATACTAAAGAATGAAGTTGGATCCCTACTTCATATACAAAAATTAACTCGGGGCTCCGGGGTGGCTCAGCTGGTTAAGCATCCGACTCGTGGTTTTGGCTCAGGTTATGATCTCAGGGTTGTGGGATTGAGCCCCGTGTCGGGCTCTGTGCTGGGCAGGGAGTCTGCTTGAGATTCTCTCTCTCTCTCTTTCTCTCTCAAAATAAATAAATAAATCTTTTAAAAAATCAAATCAAAAAGGCTCAATGGCTTAAATAAAAGAGCTTAAATGATAAAATTCTTTGAAGTAAACACAGGAGTAAATCATCATGACCTTGGATTTGGCAACGGATTCTTCGATATGATACCAAAAGCACGAGGTACAAAAGAAAAAATAGATTAACTGGGCTTCATAACAATAAAAAAACTTCTGGGCATCAAAGGACATTATTAAGAAAGTGAAAAGACAACTTACAGAATGGGAGAAAATATTCACAAATTACATATCTGATAAGGGATGAATATCCAGAATATGTAAAGAACTCCTACAACTCAACAACAAAAAGACAAACAACCCAATTTTAAAATGGGTGAAGGACCCGAATATACACTTCTTCAGAGATATATATAAATGGCCGATGAAAAGCTGTGCCACATCATTAGTCCCTAGGGAAATGCAAACCGAAACCACGGGACGCCACTTCACACCCCGTAGGAGGGCTGTAGTAAAAAAGATAGCAAGGGTGTGGAGAAATGAGAACCGTTGTGCATCATTAGTGGAAATGTAAAATGGCGCAGCTGCTGTGGAAAAACAGTTTGGTGGTTCCTAAACAGGATTATCGTATGATCCAGTAATTCCACTCCTAGGTATATACCCAAGAGAACTGAAGACAGATGCTCTGGCAGATACTTGTTCACCTATGTTCACTGCAACATTATTCACAATACACAAACGGTAGAAACAACGAAAGCGTCCATCACAGACAAACAGGTAAACACATGTCGTATATCTCTACGATGAAATATTATTCATCCACGAAAAGCAATGAAGTTCTGACACATGCTACAACATGGATGAACCTTGAAAACATGATGCTAAATAAGCCAGACACAAAAGGACACGTACTGGATGAGTCCACTTATGTGGAATATTGAGAGTAAACAAGTTCAGAGAGACAGTAAGTAACGTAGAGGTTAGCAGGGAGAACAGGGAGTGACTGCTTCATGGGTACGGCCTTTTTGTTTGGGGAGATGGTTGTACAATATCATGAATGCATTCAATGCCACCGAGCTGTACCCTTAAACATGATTAATATGGCAAATTTTATATTATATGTATTTTACCACAATTAAAAAAAAAAGAACAAATTAGGTTTTCTCGCAGGGGCCCTCGGGAGGAAACACGGTTGGGATTCTAGGAAAGGCTGCCGTGACCATGTTTAATCTTTCTAGAGAAGCTGGGGCAACTGTGTGCTTAATTCTGCGAGAGTTGCCCACGCCTTGGCCAGCCCACACCCTAAGGTACTCCCTGAGCTCCTGGATCCTTTCCACCACTCACATCAGAACCCCCCCGGATGCACTGTCTGACCACAAGGAGACCTCTGGAGCCCGCTTCTGCCTCCTACCCGCCTAGCTGCTGTCTGCCTCCTTCTGTTCAGTGTCCAGCTCCAACTCCACAGTTCTTGTCTTCGTCCCTCTCCCAGAGCCAAGGACGACAGTGCCTGACACATTGCAGGGCCCTCACTCAGCCTGGCTGACTCCTGACTTAACCTCCTGGCTTCTGGGCCTTTGGGTCCCCACCTCCCGGCTCTACCTGGGCCTGGCTGGCTCTGGACACCCACTGCTTTGCAGCTGGGTCTCTGGCCTCAGCTGGGCTCCTGGCACTGCTCTCCAAGCCTTGCCTGTCCCTTCTGGTGGCCATTACAACATACCCACCCTCCTCAGACCCTGACACCGCCTCCCTTCCCTCCCTCTCAGAGACAACCTGGCTTAAGACTCAACATGGCTCAGTCAGGACTTCCCCTTAACGAGCCCTCCCTCCTGCACAGCCAGCCTCTCTGTCAGCCTCCAGTCCGGGCCTCCTGTCTTTGCAGGCCTTGCTCTTCCTCAGGCAGTGCCCCTGCTCACCTGTGTCCTCACCTCCTCCCTTCTAGGCCTGGCTGCCCTATCCCCTCCCCAGATCTCTTTCTTAGGGCTACCTACATCTCGCTTCCTCTTCTCTGCCAGGCTCCTGTGGGGTCTTCTCCCCACTCCCTCCTCCTTCATCCCCGCTTTGCATCTCAGCCTGCCAAGTCTGGCTGAGGCTCCCATGACGCCCCTCTGACCTGCCCCTCTGGCAGTAGGAAGCACTTCAGCGCACAAGTGGTGGAAATGAGTCTCTCCTAACCTCACTTGACCAGACTGAATGGCGCATGCTATTGGCCATCCTCGACCTCAGGGAGCTCTCCTTGCACCTCCGAGAACACTGATCCTTCCTTGTCTTGCCCTGGTCTCAGGTGGCTCAGGGCCCGTTTGGACCTCCTGCCCTGTCCTCCCCAAGATGACACCCACCCTATGGCTTCAGCTTCAGCTAAATGTGATGGTTCCCGGATCAGTGTTTCCTGCCCACATATCTCCAGGCTGGATAGGGCTCCAGGCTTGGAGACCTGGCTGCCCAGTGGTCATTTCCCGTGGCTGTTCCACAGGTACTAGAGCCCACTGCCCCTAAACAAACTTGTCATCCCCTGAGACTTGCTCCTGGTAGCGAGGAGCTGTCCCACCCTCGCTCCGTCGCTCAGTCCAGCCGCCTGTGAGCCTCCTGCCTTCCACCTCCCTCACACACACCGGGATGGAGTCCTCCCTCTGCCTCCAGCTCAGTGCTGACCTTTCCACTCCTCTCTGCTCTCATTGTTCCCATTTAATCCACGTCACACCGGCTCCTGCCGGGACAGCAAACGGCTCCCTACTGACGGCCCTGCCTCTAATCTGACTCTGGATCCAGGCCCCTATCCATCCACTCATCAATTCAACAAACAAGGTTCCTGAGCACCTACTATGTGCCAGCCACACGATGGTTTTTTTAGACTATAGATGACCTCCCTGCTTACCAGCCTATGATGGCTCGACCTCAGCAATGGGTCCAGCTCCTTGGCCCTTCTAATCAGACTCTTTGTTGTAGGGCTCCTGCCTGGTTCCCAGGACCCCAGTGTGTCTCTAGTGCTTCAGCTTCTGTAGCTGCTTCTCCCCAACCCCACCCCAGATGAGGCCAGACCCAGAGGTGAGAGCTTGGCAGCCCACGTGCTCCAGGGGTGAGCATGGTTCTGGTCACAGTGGGTGCTGGCCAGTTGCAGCCATGGCCCTCCCTCATCCTCTTGCTCCCTTCCTTCATGGACCAGGGGTGGCCTGGCTCAGCAGCAGCAATGCCCAAGTGGGCAATGGCAGGGGGGGCAGGATAGGGTTGGTCAGAGGGGCCTGCCAATGGGGCACCTGCAGGGTGTGTACCCTTGGGGTGGACGCATCAGGACCCCGTGGGTGGCATTGGGGGGATGGAATGGCCTCCTGTCCTGGGCAGGAGTCTGGTGCCTTGGCCTTCTTTCCCCCATCCATACGATGTGAAGAGGCACTCTGGGCCGTCTGTCCAAGGGACTGCAGATGCATTCAGGAGGGGCCTGAGGAGAGGCTTCATTACCCTGACTCCGGAAACTCCAAGCCGCCTTCTCTTACCTGTGAGGCATAGGTGTCCAGTTTCTCAAACTGCCGCAGGTCCAGGGGCATGGATTTCAGGCTGGACCGATCCCAGGGGTAGGCTGGAAACACAGGGAGGCTCAGTCAGCTACTGAGGGCTGCTGACAAGGGGCCTCTCTGTCTTTTTGAGGAGCTGGGATTGCCCGACCTTCAACATGCTTCCCAGAGCCTGAAAAACTGCTCCCAAGAGCTAGATCTCCTAGAAGGGTTCCTTGGTCAAATTGGCTTGTGAACGATGGCAACTCCTCTAGTTCTTTTGGAGACTCACAGGGGATCTAAGCCTATTTGCAGACCCCGGGAAGTCAGCAGTAAAGAAACTAATTTCCCCTCAATTAACTCAGCAGTGCCCAGACAGATTAATGATGGAACCTCCTTCTCCCCATCTTATAGTTTTCTGCAGATTTCCTGCGAACTGTTCCAGGAATGAATGCTCTGTGGGAAGTGCCCAGGAATGCTGCCAGTCCCCGGTGGGCTCAAGAAAGGAAGGTCTGTGGGGCGCCTGGGTGGCTCAGTTGGTTAGGCAGCTGCCTTTGGCTCAGGTCATGATCCTGGTGTCCTGGGATCGAGCCCCACGTCCGGCTCCCTGCTCAGCGGAGAGCCTGCTTCTCCCTCTCCCTCTGCCTGCCACTCTGCCTACTCGTGCTCTCTCTCTGTCAAATAAATAAATAAAATCTTTAAAAAAAAAAAAAAGAAAGGAAAGTCTGTGCCATAGCCACAGTGCCCAGGGTGGAGGGCACCCTGGGTATCGAAGGAGGGTGTGCTAGACCAGGCCATGCAGGCTTCTGTAGGGTAAAGTGGGTTTGGCACCCAGACAGGCTTCCTCCTGTGCCCACAGTCAGCTGGAGACTGGAGCACCCCAAAAGCTACATGTGTTCTAGCAACGGGCACCCCAAGTCCTGTGGGGAGGCCTCTGAGGGACGCTGTGCCCCAGAATCACTCATCTGTGCTCGCCTTTCTCATAGGAAGCCGGGACACAGGACAGCCCCAGTCAGCTGCTGCAGGGCTAACTGACCAGTGGTCAGACCAGCCATGGATGGGCAGCAAACCCCTGTCTCAGCCTGAAAGAGAGCCTGGGCTCTGGCAGGGTCCCTCTTTTTTTTTTTTTATTATGTTATGTTAATCACCTAAATACATTACATCATTAGTTTTTGATGTAGTGTTCCATGATTCACTGTTTGCATATAACACCCAGTGCTCCATGCAGAACGTGCCCTCTTTAATAC